CCTTTTTCCCTTCCCGCTCTTTCTTTCTTTCCCTCCTTTCATTCTTTCCTTTTCCTCTTTCCGCCTTCTTCCTTTCTCTCTCTTTCTTTTCCTCCTCCTTTCCTTCTCATTCTTTCACCCTTTCCTTCCTTCATTCCTTCTCTCTACTCTCTCTCTCTCTCTCTCTCCTTCCTTCTTTCCTCCTTCTGCGGCCCAACTCTCTTAAGAAGGGGTTTAAACTTTAAACTCCTTCTTTCTTCGCTCCCCCCCCCCCGCTGGGGAAAAGAAGGGGAGGCTTTTGAAGATGCCTTCCCCCCCTTTTGCTTCCCCTTCTGACATCACTTCCGGTGATGTTAGGGGGTGTTGCATGTGCTAATGAGCTATTATGCTAATAGCCTAGTAGCTCATTAGCATACCATATGCTAATGAGCCCCTGCAGCTCTTTTTCTACGAAAAGACCCCTGACTAGAAACACTGATTGTTATCAGTTCTCCATGCCCACAAGACAGAGAATAATCATGTATATTCTCAGGTGGGTAGCCACATTGGTCTGAAGCAACAGAACAAAATTTGAGTCCAGTGGCACCTTTAAGACCAACAAAGTTTTTTTCAAGGTGCCCTGACCTGGTTAGCCTAGGCAAGACTGATCTCATCAGATCTCAGAAGCTAAGGAGGGCCGACCCTGGCAAGTATTTGCAAAGGTGACCTCCAAGGAATACCAGGGCCATGACACAGGGGAGGTAATATCAAGCTTGAAATATCCTAGGCCCCACTAGTGGTTGCCAGAGGCAACCATTACTTCCAGGCTCACAAGTGCATGCACACACATAAAATACTCACAAAATTTTTTAAAAAGTTTTGCTCAAGGTATAAGCTTTCGTGTGCATGCATACTTCATCAGATAAACTGAAATGGAAGTTAACAGTCCACACACATAGGTACTGGGTGAGCAGCAAAGTAGCATACAACATAATGAAGATGCTTAATAGATACAAGGACCAAACATGGTCACCATATGTTTGGATTTAATTCCAGGGGAAAATATAGTGAAGGAAATAAATATATCAAAATTGGAGATTGATATATAAATATACCCTTCTTAATTGTGGAATGCTGAGAGTAATTAAATGAGACCCTGTTGTTACGCTCCATCCATTCCTGTCTGGTCACTGTATTTATTAAACATCTTCATTATGTTGTATGCGAATTTGCTGCTTACCCTCTACCTATAGGTATGGACTGGTACCTTCCATTTCAGTGTATCTGATGACGTGTGCATGCACAAAAAAGCTTATACCTTGAATAAAACTTTGTTGGTCAAAGCTGCCACTGAACTTGAATTTAGGTCATGTATATTCTCATATACAAGCATAAATCCTTCAGAGGAGTTTTTAACATATGGCCAGCAACTTCCTGTAAAATATGTCACTTAACATGCCAAGCCCAACTGAAGTGGGCCTCAGCAGCAAGGTCAATATGGCTAGCCATGGAGAACTTCTTTAAAGTCAACAGTCACACAATCTTTATTCTAACCTATGCATGCCACAGCTTTTTCTTGCATGCATCTTTGTTCTCTGCTAAATCACCCTCTCTTTGTTATAAAATATATATTGTAAAAAAGTGACTATAATGACTACTGAGTAAATATTTTATAAGAAAATGTCATTATTCATATTTAGAAACAAAGGAATCAGTCATCTCTAACTCTCAAAGGAGCAATAATTTATTGAATGTGCAAGTTTATACACTAAAAGCAAATAAAGAACAATTATAAAGTCTGACTCATTTAAACATGTGTGTTGATGTTAAATCAGACATTTCACTGAAAAAGACTCAAATATAACTCTGATAAATGGGATCCACTCATTAAAGATTGAAGATGAGGATGAAATTAAATTCTTAAAAAGATTTTTCAAAAAATCTTATTATGTCTGAAAACATAATGTATGAAATATAATGAATATCAGGTTACCAGTGATTGGAATACTTACAGTAAAAACCAACCGCTGCAGGATAATAAAGTGGAGGGAAAAGAAAAAAAGTCAGGATCCAGATATTACACAGGCACATAGTAAAAAATTATGAAAAATACCTTTGATTTCCCTCTTATTAAAAATAGTAAAAACACAAGAATCTTTATTGCTTCTATTTGACACACACAAGTCAGTGAAAAGATATCTGAAAAGACATCTAAACTGAAACAGCTACATAAGCTGTTGGATAAACATAACCCTATACTACAAGGTGGTAAACGGAATGTGTCATTAAACTACAATATAAAAAAATCATAGAATCACACAAGTCACTTTCGTGTGTTTCTGGCCTGTTTTGGCTTAGTGGAAAGACGAGAGAGAATATAATGACACACTCTGAAAGTGTCAGGGGACTGATACTGTAATGAGGAAGGGTTGTTTAGGTTAAAGGTGATTGTGGGTCAACAGTAAATGGATACACATTATTTATTAGAAAGTTTAGATGTGAGCTCAGAAGTTATAAATATTTAGAAGAATAAAATTATGGAAAAGATGCAAAACTCGTCACAATAGCAGAGATCATTGGATATTTATAAAGTAATTTTGACTGATATAGGTGATGGGTGCTAATTAGTAGGACCTAACTCTATCCGTATAATTGGAAACTGTTATTAGAATAAGCGAGCTCACAGACTTGATTTCAATAGGCTTCAATAGGCTTAGACTGGAGTACCCGCATATGATTGCATTGTAAATCATTTATACAGTACTTGTAATGCATAAAAGAATTTAAAGTCATTTATTGCTGGTGGACCTTCCAAAACAATGTAGCTAGCTATGTGAAAGTCTGGTAAAAAACTGCAGAAAATTCAGGTGGGGGGGGGTTTCCCCTGAAGGCTCCCCCCCAATTTTTCTGATGGAATAGAATGGAAATGTTGGAGAGCACTGGAGGAAAAAACCTATGAAATATTTTATTTTATTTTATTTGGAATGAGTGAAATGCTTTTTTAGATACGTACGGCTTTGCTGACCCAAAATCTGTCACGTGAAGGTTTTAGTGAGAAAATCTACCCAGGGTCCCCAACCTTTTCAAGCTGGTGGCCATTTTTGGATTTCTGATGCAGTGGTACAGAATGGCTGTTGTGAGAAGCTGAGCCAACCACAAAGTGGCCACGCCAGGGGATGGAGGGCAACACACACACAAAGAGTCCAAATTCATGAGTCAAGAGGAATAATTTTAAAAATACACTAGGCAAGAGGAGACAGAATAAAACCAATACTATGGAGGCAGCTGCTGCCAAAACAATGTTATTTTAATCTGCAAAACCAATCAGAAGCCCTGCTGGGCAGGAGTCCCTACCTGACCACGGCCACTTTCTAAAAATATTTGGCACACACCAGAAAGGTGACAATAGGCATCATGTTTGGGACCCTGATCTACTGGCTATGTTGCTCCACTGTATGGAGCAAACCTGCAAACTGGGGGCCAGGTTTGGCTCTAAATATAATTCCTATGCATGCTACAGGTCTAGAGCTAAAATAACTGAGGCCATCATATTTTGTTCATATTATGAAAAGACAGGAATCACTGCAAAAGACAATAACGCTAGGAAAATTGAAGGCAGAAGGCAAAGTGAAAGACCAAACACAAAATGGATTGATTCAATACATGCCCTCAGTTTGCAAGACTTGGTAACAATAAAGTGTTTTGGAGATAATTAATTAGGGTTGTCAGGTCCCCTCACCATCACAGTGGGGAAATTTGGGAGGAATTCCAAGGTGGGCGGGACGTCGCACGCGATGTCCCCGACGCAATGATGTCACCCAGAAGGGTCATCATCATGTCGGTGGTGTTGCACATGACACTCTGGTTTGGGGGCAAAAACTCTATGGGGGTTTTCTGGGGGGTTCAAAACCACAGAGCTTGCCCCAAAACCAAAGCATCATCACGCAACATTGCCAATGTGATGATGTCACTTCCTGGTGATATCTTCGTGCCGGGGACATTGTGCGAAGACATCCTTGTTTGGTAGTGGGGTTTTCCCTGCTGGCCAGTTAGCCAGCAGTGGATCAGAGCCCCCAAAAGCAGGACCTGGGACCTATCATTAATTCATAGGGTTACCATAAGTTACTACACACACACACTCACACACACAACAGTGGTGTAAGCAATGGATGTTCTGATATATTAGGATATGGAGTGACTGTACTCATCTTAGAACATTAATACTGTAAGATGCTTTAGGAGTTGTATTCCAAGAATAAATATGCTAAATAAGTAAATAACACTGATAATTTGTTCGGGAAAGATTGCTTGTTTCTCCAGAAATTTGGCAACAGCTTGCAAGATGGCTCAATTTAGGGCCCAGTCCTGGAGGTCCTGGGCACAGAACTTAAGTATTCAGCTTGCCACTGAGGCATCATGCTGATATAGCCGAGGTGTGGTGTTCCACCCAGTAGAATGATAGGGTGGCCCTCTTGTTGATATGGACTTTTGCCTTGGTGTTGTCAATTAGTAAGAAGACATGTCTGCCCTCTACCTGGTATAAAAAGACAGGAATTACTAGCTTTATTGTTCTGAGTTCATACAGTGTTGTGACTTGGACCTTGACCATTTGCTTTGGGCTAAGAAGCTGAGACCCACACGGTTGACATCTGTTATTATTTCAGTTGGTTCTGGTCCCTCAATGGTCTGCCCACCAATAGGTTCCAGGTTTGGAGCCACCAGTGAATGGAAGTGTCAAGTTTCCTGCAGTGTGGTACTACCTAGTTATATTATCCTGAAATTGAAGTAGGATTCACTGGAGAGCATGGGAGTGGAAGTAAACCTGTCTATATGAGCAATCATAAGGCTTTGGGTATTCACAAATGTCACAAGACATTTAATAAATATACAACCTGGCTATTCTTTCTAGGGGAAGGACATGCTTGCTTTCTTGGTGAACACATAAAACTCTTTTACACTGAGTCACCACTGATCCATCAAGGTCAGTATTGCCTACTCTGATTGACAATATCTCTTCAGTTAGAAATCATTTGTATCACCTACTATATAACTGAAGAAGCTAAGGGAAAGGCTACTCACTGAGATCTCGTGTGGTGCCAGATGCCTGGCAGCAGGAGAGGCAGCCGCTGTGGATGAGCTAGAGCTCATGTGGCAAGGGCAGCAGAGTCCAGGGGTTGGTAAGAATGAAGACAGCAAATGCAAGCCCCACCCTATGGGCAGCATGCAGGTCCTGTTAAGGCTGGTGGAAGATGTCCCTAACTTGCATGAATAGGGACCGACCCCTCTGCTGTCCCCTGGGTGAGTGTCTGGGCCTATGGGAGCCCCCATGATTTCACTTCATTAGTGGCTGAAAGGAGCCACGTGGTGGATGAAAGACTCTTCTTTAATTGGGCTTTTCTGTTAACATCCTTTTTGTTCTCCTTGTGTTCAAAATGTTGAAAGGGCAAATGAAGCTATGTAAAATGCTACTTCTGCAGGTCAGCAAGGCATGTACTGGAGATCCACCTTTCACCAGAAACAGAAGTACTCTACAAAGTCTTCCAGCACAATCCCTGCCTCTGGAGTGGATGGGAGGACTAACCCACAAAAGGATAGTCTCTTTCACTTATAAAAAAATAAGCTATTGTCTCTACAGATAGTTAACTGTGCAATATGACCACAAGATCATGATCACTTAACATGTTGGCATGATTAACTACATATGCAATCATATTAAATTCTCAAAAGCATGCTGCAAAAGGGTAACAGTTTCTATGGTGTTTGTTTTATTAAAATAGTATAAACCGACAGTCTTCAGACAGAACAGGAAAAAATGTTTAAGATATGAATTGGAGAAAATAATTTTTCTTTTTTACCTGAAGGATTAGAAAAATCCAACATACTGGTTGTAGGCTGCAAGAGATCAGGACTGCTGGATGAGAGTGTGCCAGGAATAGGCATAATTGCCACACTGTGTCTGCACTGTCTGGTGCCCACAATACTGTCATCCTGTGATTGGCTTACACTTCCATCACTGAAAAAAAAGTTTCAAAAGTTGCTTGTATTTAGACAATACATAAATGTAGTTACTATATGCACATCATGGAAAGCAAGTGGTAACTATTACTAACATTAGAAACATAAAATTTTGAAAATAGTTTATTTTGTTTTTTAAAACCTCTTCCTTCTGTTGTTTACAAACTGCTACATCTGTGATCTTTCGGAATAAAATGGTTCTTTGCTGACAACAGCTCTCTCTGCTCTAATTTGGATGCTTACTTGATTAGTACACAGGCATTAAAGGTATCTATAGCACTGTCTAGGTACTACTGTGTGGATCAGTTCAGTTTGTTTCCCTGAGAAACATCAACAAAGTCTTGGGGATGTGCCAGTTTAGATCAGTGTCCCCTCTTGGCTTGTAAGATCTTACAATTGGGCATTGAGTCCTTTAATTCACAGGACTGTCAATGCCTCTTTCAAAAACTATTGTTTAATATCTATGTAAGGGCTCTTAATGAAACCTTTTAAGGAGGGTAATACCACCATGCTGATACACCACTTTAAGTAAGTTTCTGTTTGCCACTGCCTCCATTGTGAACCAGCATGATGTAATAGTTAGACTGGCAAATTAGAATCTGGGAGACCCAGGTTGAAATCCCCACAATGACATGGAAGGTTACTGGGTAACCTTGGGCCAGGCACACACATTCAGCCTAATCTACCTCAACGGGTTGTTATGCAGATAAAAAAAAGAGACAAGAAGAACGATCTAAGCCATTTTTGGTACCAACTGGAGAGAAAATAAAATGACATTGTATACTGGTCAAAACACTCTAAACAAATAAATAGAAATTGAAGTCAGATAAGACAAAGGTGATGCTGCTTGGAGAGGTTGCTGCATTACCTACCATTGATCAAGTTTAATGTCTGCTGAAAGACTCTGCTAAGAGCTGGCTGGCTGGGTTTCGGTCTCCTGTTGGAGAAGTAAGTGACTATGGCAGCAAAAATGTTTTTCCCAGCTTCATATATGTTACCAGGGGTCATTTCCTGCAGGAGCGTGCAGGAGTGGAGCTCCGGCAGTAAAGAGCCCAGGGGGCGGGCACATGCAGCAACCCCGCCCCCTGCTCCCAGCAGCCCTCAGTCAGCGCAAGAAGCAGCCAGGTAAGTTGAAGAGCAACCCCCCCCGGCTCCCCAGCCCAAAACAGTCCAGTGGCACCTTTAAGGCCAAGGTTTATTCAGGTACAAGCTCTCCCTCCTCTGCCAGGACAGATATGCACGTCCCCCCCCCCACCAAATAGCTAGCAATCCAAAACAGTCCAGTGGAGCCTGAGCCGCAGCAGTGGGTGTTGCCTTCTGACACACTTCCAGTGATGTCAGGGGGGGTGGCATATGCAAATAAGTTATGCTAATGAGTTATTCTAATGAGCTCCTGCACCTCTTTTTCTAAGAAATGACCCCTGTATGTTACACAGGGGTTGTTTTTGTAGATGATCCAGAAACTTCACTTGGTACAAAATGTGGTGGCGTGTCTGTTATCTGGGATCAGCCAACAGGGCTATGTTACTCCCAAGGTCCCTGCACTGGCTGTTTGTTTGTTTTTACATCATGTTTAAGTTACTGGTTCTTACCTTTAAGAAGCACTTGGAGCCCATATTCTTGCATAACCAAACATTCTGGCTAATAAGGTGTTTTATTTTGACTGATTTATTTAAAACATTTCTATTTCACCTTTTCACCCAACTCAGGGTCCCCCAAGGCAGCAAACATTAAAACAGCATTTATTATATATATGATTTTAAAGGTAAAGGTCCCCTTGCTCGAAAGCCAGTCGAATCTGACTCTAGGGTTGCAGTGCTCATCTCCGTTTCAAAGCCGAAGAGCCAGCGCTGTCCGAAGGCATTTTCGTGGTCATGTGGCCAGCATGACTAAACACCAAGGCGCACGGAATGCTGTTACCTTCCCACCGAAGTGGTACCTATTTATCTACTTGCAATTTCTTGCTTTCGAACTGCTAGGTTGGCAGGAGCTGGAACTAGAGATGGGAGCTCACTTCATCATGCGGCACACTCGGGTCTCCAACTCCTGAACTACTGACCTTCCACAGCCTGCAGTTCAGCATTTTAACCACTTGAGCCACCACAGCTCCTTTATATAATTTTAAAAACAATTAAAAACATTGAACACAAATACATTTGAACATACAAACAGGAAGGAGGACTAATAAAGTCTTATTGAGGGGACACTAAGCAAAACAAAAAGATCTTCACCCAAATGGTAGAAGGCAATGATAGAGACAGATCCATCTCCCTGGGAAGGGAATTCCAAAGTTTTGGCACCACAACCAAGAAGCCCTTTCTCAGGCTGCCATCCATCTAGTCACAGCTGGCAGGGACACCTGGAGCAGAGCCTCTGACGATGACCACAGTGGTCAGGTAGGTTTATATGGAGTAGCTGGTCCTTAAGGCACCCTGGTGACAAGCTGTATAGGGCCTTAAAGCACAATGAATTGGGCCTATAAACAAACTGAGAGCCAGTGTAGATGGAACAATACTAGAGTGATATGGTCCCTGTGACCCATGCCAGTCGATGTTCTGGCTGCAGCATTCTGTACCAACTGTAGCTTACAGAAAGTCTTCAAGGGCAGTCACACACAGAACAAATTGCAACAATCTAATCCAGAGGTTACCAGGGCATGTACCACAATGGCAAGATCTGTCCTGCCCAGGAACAGCCACAGCTGGCTCACCACTCAAAGCACTCCTGGCAACCTCTGCCACTTGTTTTTCCAAAAGGAGATCCAAGCTATGAACCTGCTCCTTGAGGGGGAGTATAACCCCATCCAGAACTGAACATATACCAATTCGTGGTTCAAACTTTCCCCCCGCCAGTAGCTCCTCTTTTTTGGTTGGGGCTAAATTTCACCCTCTTAGCCCTTATCCATCCCAAAAATGCCTTCAGGTACCTGTTCATGTTTGTCACAGCCTCTCTGGGATCTGCTGGAAGCACAAATTGAGTGTCATTTGCCAATTATGGAAACTCAGCCTAGATCTCTGGATGACCTCTCCCAGCAGCTTCATGTTGATGTTAAAAAGCATGGGGGATAAGATAGAACCTTGCAGGACCCCAGAGGCCAGAGGTCAAGTAGCAGTCCCCAACACTACACTCTAAAACCTATCTTTGAGGAAGGGCTGAAACCACCACAAAATGGTGCCTCCCAGTCCCAATGCCAAAAGCTGGTCCAGAAAGATACCATGATTGATACTATCAAAAGACACAAAGAGGTCCAGAAGAATTAACAGGGTCATATTCCTCTTGTCCATCTCCCAGCACTGATCATCCAACGAGCAACCAAGGCTGTTTCAGTCAATAATCAAGATTTAAACCAGTCTGGAATTTATCCAAACAATCTGCTTCATTCAGGAATCCCTGAAGTTGCCCAGTCACCACTGTTTTAATCACCTTGCTCAAGAATAGTACATGTGTACATATGAAATTGCCTTATACTGAATCAGACTATTTGATCATCTACCCAGACTGGCAGCAACTCTCCAGGGTCTCAGGAAGAGGGCTTTCACTCCTTGATCCTTCTAACTGCAGTTGCCAGGAATTGAAAATGAGACCTGCATGCACGGGAAGATGTTCTACCACTAAGCCATGGCCCCTATCCTATTTGAGTCTGGATGGTAGTTATTCAACTGTCCTGAGTCTAGAGTAGCTTTCTTTAGAAGTAGATGCACCAATGCCTGCTTCAAGGAGACATTTATTGTCTCCAAGACCCAGTCTGTCCACAGTCCTCCCTGGAAGATTTAAGCAGCCAGGATTGGCAAGGGTCATATAAGCAGGTGGCAGATTTCAAACTTCCAAGAATCTTGTTCACATTTTCAGACTGAACAAGCTGAACTGTATCCCACACAACACTACAAGTTAGCATCCCCGGAATCCTGTTCCTGTAGAGTCCAAGCTAGAATGAATGAGATTTTATCCACAAACTGCTGAGCAAAATGGTCACATTGGGCTAGGGAGTAATCTACCTCCTCCTATATTATACTTGGGTATGAGTCTGGAGGGCAAAATGGGAGCAGGGTTAAGTAGGGAAATAAAGGTGGAGACTAAAATATCATATGAAGATACAGCCTCAGTGGGGTTTGAAGAAGTCATAAGGGAGGAGCGCAGGTTGATAATCGCTTGCTCGGTGACTAATAGCTGGAGTCTCTCGGTATGGTTATGTGACCAAATAGATCTAGGGAGGAACTCAGAGGATAAATCATTAACTGTAGGGGCTAGATCAGATTGAAGGTGTATCTGGGAGGTAACTGAGAGGACTAGAGGGAAAAGCTCACTCTCAATGCGGGGATCAATATAAAAATGCTCTAAACTATTTTTAAAGGATAAAGGGATTAAAACATTATCTAAAACGCTATAACCTCTAGTTGATGCAAAAGGGATATCCCTACTATGGGAACCATTTAGGACAAGTTTATCACATTGGATGCAAAATTTACTAAGAAATATGCCCGCCTGGTTAATATGAGGGTCTTTGGAGGACCTAACAAAACTAAAGAAATTTGAGAGGAAGTGGTTTGGGTCTAGGTTCAGAGCAGCCAGAAAGTCATGGTCATCTTTACCAATTCTGGCGTTAAAATCACCCAGAAGGATAACATCTACTATGGGAAAGCGAAGTTCTAGTTGTTCAAGATATGAAATCAAGCGGTCCCAAAGGGAGCATAAAGACAATTTGTCTGGGGAAGGAGGTAAATAGATGTTGACTGCAATAAAAGCAAAATCCTGAAGACTAAATAGGAAAGCATGGGCAACTGGGTTCAGCCCCATGTAGAGAGCATTACAGTAGTCCAGCATCGAGGTGACCATCGCGAAGAGAGAACAAAAGGGTTAAACCTGCTTGGAAACGGCCCAGAGGACTGCTCTTAAATCCAGGCAGGGAATATGTTGAAAATCCTTCAAGGGAAATTGTGGATTTTGTCCATGTTTCCTGAAAGAAAATAATCTCAAATTGCCTTAAATAGGAACAGAAAT